TAACTCAAACCGAACAACAGTTTTAGAATAAATCACAATAAAATATAGGTCTAATTAAAAGTTATTGAGAGAAAATGGATGTCCCGTGATAAATTGCAAATTTTTATTGAAATTATTAGAATTTATTTTACTCACAAAAGTCAAATTACGTAATCAACAGGCAAAATATAATTTTCAAGTTAGATTTAGCGTCTAATTCGCTAAATAGCATAAGCGTTAATTATTAGTTAAATGTGCGAATGTTTCAATGGACTTGAAATTTTTTGAACTGTTCAAAAACTTATGTGGGCTCACTAGTCTCATCCACATATTTGGTTTTGAAATGTGAATAGCTTTATGTGTAATTAAGAAATATCAATCGTTTACGAGATGTAAAAATTTCTTCAATGTATAACTCCAGTCTGATATTTTTATAAATTAGTCTACAAAATTTGTAATTCAAAAAAATCTTATCTGGTCAGCCAGTAATTCATTACAAGTACAGCTCAGAATGTAGGTAATTAGTTATACAAAATAGAGCTGTAAATCTAAAGGTTGATTTTATGTAAAGATTTTACACATGTGACTGCGTACTAAAAAACTCATTTTCCGAATGCAACTTTAGCCGCTTATGCCCAACCGCATTGGATCTTTTTGTCTGTAGTTCAAGGGAAGTTTCTTAAACTGAATTTTGAACCTGTGTTTTAAATTATTTCATAAATATGTTGCGTTTGTAGCAATATAATTAGAAATATAATCGGATTTTCCGGTGGTTTTCTTGGTCAAATAGTACCTCAACAACATTAGGTGCGTGCAGTAGTTTTAAAATAAAAGTCCATCCTTTATTGTATTACTTTCATCAGTTTGATCAAGTGAGATGCTCCGATATATCAACAGGTGTTCTCATTTATTAGTGTCCCATTTGGCCCAAGCTAAACTTATCTACTTTCGTAGTTTAAACTAAAATACGTTAGAGAATTTAAATTATAAGGAATAAAAATGTAACAGCGTACATGTGTTTTTCTAAAACGTTCGGAATCGCGCCGTTGGCCAAAAGTAACATCACATTTTCTTCCTAAAAAAAATAAGAACGACTTTGTTTTAAAATCCGTGATTACATTGAGCTACTTATCATACCACAACAGAGTCAATAAAGGGATTGCAAAGATGTTTTCCTTACCAAGTAATGTCATGGATAGCTGAATGGCCCACGAGGTCGCCGGACCTTTCGACTTGCGATTATTTCTTAAAACGACTACTTGAAGCTGAAAGTCGCTGACTGACATGAAGTATATGAAAAATAAATGAACGAATCCTTTAAGAAGTTGCCAATATTCTATTGGAAGTGTTACGTGAAATTATGCAAAACTTGTGTTTGCCCAATGCAAGAATGCGTACAGAGAACGGGAAGTGATTTGGCACACATAATTTTTAACAAATAATAGGGCATATAGTTGTTTTGTTCAAAATATGTTTGCGTACAAATAAATATTATTACTTTTAGGGTTAAGTTTTTAAAGTT